ATCCGTTGATCTAAAAGCGGGAAGAGGTGAGCTATGGAGCAAAAGTCTAAGATTCACGCCTTTAAACGCAATCAGTTTCAGCTTTCGGTGCGTAATAAAAGTGACAGTCAGTCCTGTTATTCGGTTTATCTGTTTGTTTACTGAATTTCGTGCAAAACTACATGAGGGCTATCTATGCTAGCCGTCCGTAATTTAGAAGTGATAAACTAAAGAGACGGCAGTTGGTCAGAGCACAGATACCCCCTTATGTAGCTTTGTGCTTAACTTCAAAAACAAACAAACGTTAGTTTTATATTGTGTTTTTTATGGGTCTATTTTGTATCTGTAGGTTTGTGTTTGCGGTAGTGTTTTTAGCCTTTTTTACGTTAGTTTTATACTGAGTTTTTATGGTCTATTGTATGTTTGTATTTTATTGTGTTTGCGGTAGTGTTTTTAGACTTTTTTTTACGTTAGTTGTATATTATGTTTTTTATGGGTCTATTTTTTTATTTGTATAAAGGCAATGGTATTAAAAGTTGTGTTTTAGTTCCACGCGAACGCTGCTAAGCTAAACCATTTTCATTGTTCAGTGCAGCAGTAATAAAAGATAAACATAGACAAATGTCTTTCAGACATATTTATTGACTTGTTTATTTAGTAAGAAAACCACTTAAATTAAAGTAATAATTAATTTTGCATATGTTTTCAAACCCTCAGGACTAGAAATATCACTTAAGATTTAAATAATTCTGTGAAATTAAATCTTTGTAATAAAAAAAAAAGCAAAATATTACTTCTCTGGTTGTGGCCAAGTGATTAGCCTGCCGGACTGTGAATATATCGGTACATAGTTAGTGTCCATTGGCGCAAAAAAATAATGGTCTACACTGGACAGTGGATGCATTATAAGAGTGGTAGTCAAATTCTACTATTTAATTAGACTAGCCCTGGAGGTCCCGGTGATTCCTTTTGATTAGTTGTCTCACCTGTAATCTATCAATTCGAAATTAAGAATGGCTAGCGCAGGTAGCGCTCAAGCTGCTAGGAGCTAATATTCGTAAACAAACGGCCCGACATGGCCAGGTGGATAAGGCGCTCGACTCACAATCTGAGGGTCGTGGGTTCGAATCCGCATACCACCAAACATGCTCGCCCTTTTAGCCGTGGGGGCGTTATAATGTGACG